TTATATATATATATATATATATAAAGCTTAATAATACTAATACTTTATAATGAACTAAGCATTTAGTAATATATTGCCAAATATTTTTTCTGTGAGTATATTTGCCACATGTCAATTTAAAATTTCTATTCAAAAATAAAAACATTACCTAATCATGCAGATTTTGAAATACAAATTACAAAAAAATCACAACTGTTTGATCTAATTTTTAATCCTTACTCATGAAAAATAGCTTTCTTTGTAAAAATTCTGTTTACTTTTCATTTACATAAACATCAATTTTCAATGTAAAATCAAAGCTAAATCTTACCAAGTTCTGCTGCTTCATATACTTCAGGAATAGCATAGCATAGCTTTAGATAGCAGTGTTAAAATGAACAAATTTCACACAATTTTAAAACTTCAAAAGCTAAGAACAAATTCAAATACCTTCTAAAACCTCTAATTACAAGCTTTTTATATTATAAATACGGATTTGCAGCAAGTACTCTGTAGTTTCAATCTGTACATAGTTATTTTTGCAACATCTTAACCATTCACCATGGAAAGCAACTACAGTTGATGGAAGATTGACTGCTGTTGATAGCGAAGGTCGACTTTTCTCAATGGCTGTCAAAAATATTTCCCTCCTACAACTGAAAGTGACAAACCTATACTAGCTTGAATCAATTGCTTAAACACTGGGTGTGCTGCCATCTGGGAGCATGAGTGGGAAACACAAGTACAAACAATCCCTCAGTAAGGGCCCAAGCCGGCAAATGATGGAAGGCACCAATGCACAGAAATATCAGCTGATTGTTGTATTTTCCCTGCTTTTACCATAATTTATGAGTTATTGATGTCAAGTTATACAATGCAAATGTGTCTTATATAACACAATGTGTAATATATATATATATACAGCTACTATACAATATCTTTTGATAGAAAAATGACACTGATTGGGAACTGACCATGAAATCTGATTACACAGCGAAAGGTTAAAACATATACTAACCCAAACTATCACATATTTTCAGCAGATGTGTTCCACTGGACCCTTACTTTACATACCAAATTTCAAGACAATCCACAAAATATAAAATCTCCAATTTTGATTGAATTTCCTTTTTTTTTTATTCACACCAAAAGTACGGAAATATGTTTGACAGAAAAACATACTTAACTTTTCATGGATGTTTTTTCAAGTTTGGTACACTTAATAAACCTTTACAGCCTACAATTATATGTCAAATTTGGTCTAAATATAAGCCACATGTGCAAAGTTATTTAACAAAAACCACTCACTTTTGACCAAAACTTTTGTGCACACCTATGCAAAAAGTCAATGCGAGCTATCAGTTTGAAATTTTGACTACAGTCTCATCTAAGAGCAAAGGTGGACCTTTTTTTTTTGTCATTTGGATTAAAGACAGCTGATTTAGAGCAGCAAAATTGTAGGGTGAAAGGACATGCAGATATACAAGTATTGGTTAGGCCAAGCAAACTACATTAATAGTTTCCAGCTCAAGTTTTCAAAAGAATCATATGGGTGGATGGTTATTATTTCATTGCCAATTTTTAAGCATAAATTTGCTAAATTTTATGAAACTCTCCTAATTAAAGAGTGTTTAGTGTCACGTGATATTAGCTTATGCAATCAGGTTAATAATAATGCTTGATGACAAGAAGCTGTTAATTTAGATTCCATGGTGTTATTATACATGAAATTATTAACAGTTTTAGAGAGGAAAAGCTACTACCTTATATTTTACAGAATCTGGTTGGTTCTGGAAAGTACAAGTCTGTTCCAAATAATAATTAGTTTGCTAGGCCGCATGTTTTGTTTTACCCACCATCATGCCCAAAGTTGAACAAAAAATCCAGCATGGCTAACTAACAAATAAATATTTGCTGTAAAATTCTTATCAATGCTATAAGTGTAGCTACCAGTTTGGCCCCCAATTTTGGTTTCACTCCTTTAAGTCACATGCTCAATCCTTTTTTTGGCCACATCTTTTTTTTTTCAGACCCAAGTTGTTTTTTGATTACATCAATAATTAATGTGAAACCAATAGGTATGCATTATAGATTATATTTTGGTCTGAGTAGATATTTTTTTCATCCCATCATCTCATAAACAGCCAAACAGAATAAGGTAGTTTTTAAGGTGATACGCATTCAATTAACCCTTTTGAGATGGGTCACGGTTCACTCTGAAAGGCCATGTCATCGCATTTGTTGACTCGCATTCAAAATTTTATTGAACTACTATTTCATGAATTTACGTCAATAAGTTTGGTATCAAATTGTAGATTATAATTCAAATTTTAGTACTATATATTACTCAATTTAAAAAAAAACAGATAAACATCGATTTTTGTGTGTCACGTGGTATGCTGAATGCAGCACTGATTCAAATTAGATGTTTGTGAAGTCAAAATACTAAGTCTATAGTTTTAAACGAATTAGAAACTTAAATTACTGATACTGACAAGCTAGAATAAGGCATAATTTATATTTATTTCTTAATTTTTTATGGTGGTTGCAAGATCGGTCAAATCTACCGAACCCATACACAGATAAATTACTGCAAATAACAGATAAAATATAAAGTTTTTTCTTAAGAAACATTTGATAACTATCTCGACATTATAAAGATTTTGCATGTGAAATTTCAAAATTTTCTGATGCATAAAAGTATTTTTAATATTAAAATGAATATTACTTGGCATGATAGATAGGCAACATGTGAAAAGAAAAAATAGACACGAGAAAAACATTGCTTTATATACCTTAAGAATTAATAATTAAAAAAAAATTTATATTTTGCATATAAGAGCATTGTAATGTTTACTGATAATCTGCCAAATTTCGTTAATATTTACTTACTAATTTAAAAGTTATAGCATGAAACTATAACAAGCACAAAATGGTTATGAGGTCGATCCCAGGGACCAAGCCCATGCTGAAAGAGTTAAGGAGTGTGTGTGTATTGAACAATATTTTAATCAGCATGTGAAAAAATTGTAATTCTCATTTAATTTCTGACATTGTATTACTTTTAATCAATGTAACTTTATGAATATCAAAATTAAAAAAAAGAAATAGACAATTAGTTCTAGAGAACAATATGAAGCTACTCCTTCACCATGTTATATATGGAACATTTCTTTTATATTTTCTTCATTTATAATTTTTGTGCTGGACACAACATTGTCTGTTTATTAGTGAATATTTATAAACATGATCTCTAAGTTGAGTATTTTTAGCAAAGGTTTAGATAGGGCTGAAAATATGGCTGTATATAATAACAGTTCCCTTAATCTTTTGTACGTAACCTCTACAGATTTCAATTGTATAACGGTGTTCTGAATGAATTCCACCAATTTTTTTACTCACCTGGTCAGCATCTACAAAAATTATTTTCTTCACATCCAGGGGAAAAAGTACATCTAAGAATAGAATCTTGTATCTGGGGAAAAAAAAAAAAAGACTTGCATAAACCTTTGGCTTTTCTTAAAAAAATATCCCCTATTAAAACGAAACAAGCTTACATTCTGAGCAGAAGAATGGAGTACCAACTTCTGCTGATTTAAAATTGATTTCAGTTGAAGAATAGCAAGACATTCTCAAATTTTTAATAACTGCTGTCACTCAGCTCCACTATCAGGTATAAATAGGAATAGAAACATTATATTTGTTTATGTCATGTGATGCCTAATAGGTTTCCTACAAGTGTGTCCTTACATACAAGTAGATAACCACCAAGTGACGTGTGTTCTTTTATACATGTAGATAACCACCTAGTGAAGTGTGTCCTTTTATACAAGTAGATAACCACCTAGTGAAGTGTGTCCTTTTATACAAGTAGATAACCACCTAGTGATGTGTGTCCTTTTATACAAGTAGATAACCACCTAGTGACGTGTGTCCTTTTATACAAGTAGATAACCACCTAGTGACGTGTATCCTCTTATACAAGTCAATATAACCACCTAGTGACGTGTCCTCTTATACAAGTCAATATAACCACCTAGTGATGCACATCCTTTTATACAAGTAGATAACCACCTAGTGATGTGTGTCCTTTTATACAAGTAGATAACCACCTAGTGATGTGTGTCCTTTTATACAAGTAGATAACCACCTAGTGACGTGTGTTCTTTTATACAAGTCAATATAACCACCTGGTGATTATTCCTTTGAAATGCAAGGACAAGTAAATTTCTAGATAACAAATGAATGATTCTTGAGAATGACATCTGTAAAATGAAACAACTTGATTATGTCTGTAACAGATTTAAAATCCATTTAACTTGTATCTGTAGATGAATTCTACCAAGAATAAAAACTAACCTTTTTTTTTTACATATTGCGACTATTATCCCACATATATAGTGGCATTATTATAACCAACTTCTCTGTAATAGTTAGTGGAGCTGAAGGGGAGTAACAATTGAATGATCAAAACTCAGTGCTTCCATTTCTTTTCTGATTACAATTTTATTCCATTTTACTAACAATGATTTTCTTTCTGACATTACTAGACCTGAATATCTTGCGTTCATAAATAAATAAAGAAATGTTCAAGAAAAACTTCACAGAATGGTTAAAAAGGAATAACCTTAAATAACAAATTTCATATGGAACAAACTTTAAAATGAAAGAAGGCAAAATACTCACCCCCAAATAATACGCTGTTTTTCAGTTTGCTGATTCAACCAGCGAGGCCACTTATACTCAACCAGTTCATATTCAAACCCATATTTTTTAGACATGTATGGCAAGAAATCCTTAGAAACAAACAGAAAATAATAACCTTTAATATTTTCAACACTTATCTTACAAAAAAACTATTTTATGAAAAATTCACTTTCTGACTTTGTCTAATGAACTATAGCCTCAATTATACCTTATGTAATAAACATATTTTGATTTGTTAGACATGTTACTCTTTATTTTTCTCATTTTAGTTAGAACCACAAACTAGACACTCTATACTTATATTGCTACATTTGATTATTTCAGAAATAAATCTGACCACAAAATAAACACAAACAATAAATCTTAACAGACTTGATAATAGTTCCAGACTACATATTTTACTTAAGTATTAGAAAGTAGATGATATCAAGAAGCATTGTTCTTTATTCAACATACTAAGGATGTTGAGTAATGTAAGATAGAATCCTATCTGTACATAAATAATAGTCAGAGGTGAAAAGTTTATTAAATAAAATTCATCCATCATTTTAAAGTTAACTTTAATACAAACTGTTATAGATGACTGAATTTTTAGTTTCAACGATTATATAGTTTCAGAAACTTTTTGTTAGAGCAAACTAACTACACTATCAGAATTATTATACGGATTATGAACTATTACACGTGCATATGTATAAAAAAACAAAACAAAATGCCACACACATCTGTATTGGAAATTTCTGTTAGCTTCAAAATAATTCTTTCACATCACACACAGATTTGAAAAATTAAAGAAACAGAAAAGTACTCATGATTGCATTATTCATAACTGCTGAAAAAAATCTATATTTATTAGATTGCTGTTTCTGACTTCTGTATATAAAACAGTCAAGCGGATGTACTCCAGTACTTACTTTAATATTTGGAGAGAGATAGTTCTTTAAAAACCAGAACTTCACTGGAGTTTTTGTGTTCTTTATTACACTCAACATCATGATCCTATCAACAACAACAAAAAGAACAATTAATATACTGTCATGAGTCACTCTTTTTCATTTTTCAATACTATTTATAAATGACATATAAAAATAAAAACTTTATTTTAACAATATGTATCTTTGATCATTCTGAGAAGTAAAGAGAGGCTGTTCCTCCAATATTAATAAAATACAAATACAATTTTGTTTCATTAATTATTTTTCTTTAATAGTGCTTAAAGAACATTACAAATTTCTAAGAACACAAAGTTCTAACATTCTGACTAGATAAATATTTTTTGAACAGCTAAGAATGCTAACACAAGAAGTTGGTAGTAAGATTTCTTGAAACCAAAACTAAGAGAAAAACTGTTGGTTTATTAGCTAGTGCTCATAACAACATATAGACATCATGGAATGTGAAAAACCAAAGTTCTGTAAGTTTATCACATCACATTCATCTGCACAATCTGTTTTATAAGACTTTATAAAAGATGTTAACCTACGTTAAAGTTCAACAGTGCAACATACCTTAACAACCTTTCATACAAATGTCCCGAAGCTAGGGAAAAGATGTTGAGTTTGTCTTCCTCTTCTTCATCTTTATCTTTCTTTTCTCCAGAAAACTTACTGAAATACAATATATAATCATATTGTTTAACTTATATAGCTTTTTCTTTTAAACAATAATATTTAAAGTTTAATGTGCTAACCACACTACTTAAACTATATGAATACAAATAGTTGAGAAGTTTGGAGAAACACTAGCTGATGAAAAGAAAGTTACACAATTTTTCACATAATAGCATGAAAAAGGTGTTAGGTAATGGTTCATACAGTAGTATATGTCTTTTACATTAGATATAATGTCTTTGTAAATTTCTGATGCATGACCTCCAATAACTTTATTCTTAAAATTTTCACAAAATCATTCTTCCTTAAAAGTTTCATAAATATGTTTTTTAGGCTTTCTCCCAATATTTTCGTGTATTACTTTATCAGCTATGAAGAAAAACTTTAATATAAGTTTAACATGACAGCAAATGTACAACGTTTCGACAAGGTTTTGTCGAAACTTATATTAAACTTATATTAAAGTTTTTCTTCATTACCCATTTAAGCCGTCTCCAGCCATTATTAGTCTCAAAGTGGGTTCCTCGTCATCAAATTTATCAGCTATGTTTTGAAAGCCCGTATATTCTTGTTAAATACAGATTCTATTGCTTTAGAGTAAACTACATTACAGAAAATAAGGAAATGTATATTTTTCAATTTTCTTTTAAAATTACTAGTTTTTAATATAAACCAAAGATTACTCAAGACTAATTTTAACACAACAGGTAACTTAAGAACTACCAATTACTAAAAAGATTAAATGCACATCCACTTATCACCTGGAAGTTGTACTTATAAAGTTTAGCCTCATAATTTAATCTCAATAAACAATGTCCTTAGAACTATAGAAAAAAAAAAAGCTGTAAAAGCCTATCAATAACATAACAAATTTAAAATCTTTGTGACATCACATAAGAAATCAGTTTATAAAATTACTTATTCTGCTATTAAATCAACAATGTGGGAAGAAACTACATGAATCTTTGATACAAAATTATGTTTTTTAACCCTTCTAAAAAAAACTAATATTTTTCAACATTTTCAACTTATAATTTAAAAATATATTTTGATTAAGGCTTTTTTAATGCTAAGAATTATCAAATTGAATCGGTAAAAGGAATATATCGATAAATATAAAAAAATGACTACTGTACAATGTGGCATAAATGTTAAATAATCTGTACCTGACTGAGAATGGTTGACTAATATTTTTTGTACCACATCCTGTATTTGCTCTATCTTTTAGTGAATAACCACTACTTAAACACAATATCTTAAATATACAACAGTTTTTTCACAAAAATTATCATATATCATTTTAAAATATATATAAAGAATTCAATTACAGGATTGATATATTACCAATAATGTATTTAAACAAATTATAAAACGATGAGGTAACTACATGGTTATGAAATTCCATTAAATATTTGTGAGACGAACATGCATGCAAGGCACCAATCACTATGTGGCTTAGTTAAAATATGCAAAAGCTCTATTTATGTTAAGAATAAAAAGCATTACAATTTGTTAATCACGAAGAAGGAGTTAAAAGCATATTTTAAATATCTCGCAACACAAATTTTATAAATCAATTTGCTACAACACAAATCCTAGTCTATGGCACGGCTAGTACACGAACAAACTATTTATGCAAAAACTAAACAAATGAAGTTCTTAAATCAAATAGGTTCTCAGATGTTTTTACTTCTACATCACGCAGTTCACCTACTTAACATAACATTATAATCAAATTATATTTTGCTATAGAAACAATCTTCCATTGCTACTTCTCCATACACTAACACAATTAGCCAGGTGGTAATATTTGCATTCTTAAAGTAACATACAGTAAGTAGAAAGAGGAACGTAGGCCACACTTGTTACTTAGTGTTATTCTCCAGAGGTAAAAATATAAACAACTGAACGTAAAACTAACAGAGAAGACCATTAACTGGTCTAAAAATACTTCAATAATTAAACCACTCATACCCATACAGAAATCAGGCATATAGTAAACCACCAGAAGAGGAGCTTATATCCACCTGAAGTAAAGCAAGACACTAAGATCAAAGAAGTTGAACCAGGCATTAATCCTTACTAGACCAGAGAGGTGTCACTGGTAAACTCTGATTTTGTTCCTCTTCTCAGTGGAAACACTTAACCAAATTATAATTAACTAATTATAAAATCTATATAATTTGATTTAGTATTTCAATAACTTCTCAAATTCTGATATTCACAAGATTTTGTTTTGAGACACTATCTCAAAAAAAAAAAAATCATTTTGTTTTAGAATTTATTTTTTATTGTTGATCAGAAAGTTTCATTTTATATATCCAGCCAGTTTGATATTCATTAACATATTTCATTTAGAACTTTATTATACTGATTGCAGTTATCATCACTACTTACAGTAAATAAATATAAAAAAAAAGAAGTAAAACTGATAAAGATTTATTAGTGACCAAGGATCATTTTTCAAAATGGTGTCATTATTACTTTTGTTAAGCTAGGTAGGTAACATTAGTTTTGTTAAAATATTATTGTTCAAAATCAATTTATATCTAAGAAATATAACTTGTTTTTAGTTAACAGGCCCCTCACGAGCCAGTGGGAGACATTTTTGTTGAAAAACAATAACTAACCAATCCAATTTTTCTTAATTTGAACTGAAATTTTTTGGACATTTTTATTGGCTAAAAAGAAGGCATTTCCTGCACTCTGTCAGATATAAAAGACTGTTCAGTGTAGGTAGTATTATTAATTAATTTATTTATTCTGTGTTTGTAATTCATTGATGTCGAGGCTTACGAATGTTGTGTGCAATCCATTGCTGTTGAGTCTATGGAGCTTTCTAGGCCTAAGTGATAGACGTACAAGTAGCTGCGAGCAGACAAGTAGAAACAGAGTAAAAGTCACATGAAAGAGAAGTTCGGTCAGAGAAAAGTTAAAAGAAAATGTAAATTTAACCATGGTGGAAGTGAATGGCCTAAAAGTTGATATGTTAGAGTGAGATTAACAGTTTGAAAGAGATTAGGATAATAAATTGTCTCCTCAAAGGGTGTACTAAACTAATTGAACCCATCTGTGTGGACTTTGACAAAAGGCAGATGATTATTGGAAGTACAAAGAGCAGACGATTATTGGAAGTTCAGGATACAACTGCAGTAACTAAAGCGACAACGTAAGTGAATTATACACAGATACTATTGCGATAAAAATAGTTCGGCCTGTCAACTGAATTTTAAAACAATTGAATTGTGACATCATAAAAGGGTGGTAACAAAGGGCCCTAGTAAAAGAACTATTGACAAAGAAGGAAAATCATGTTAGAAAGAAAACATGAACCATCATATTTCAAAGGGGCCATAGTGACTTAGGAAATATAAATCTATACTCAAGTATAGGAAGAATAATAGCATAGTAATAATAACAAAATATGCCAGGTGCATTGTTTACAGGTGAGATTCTTTACAGTAGGAAAACTAAAAGTTGTAATTTTTTTCATTTTTGCTTTGCTGAAAAGTGCTTACTGATCACAATATTGTTATGTATCTTGGATTACCTATTGATTTCTACAAGTTTTATGAAATATACATAGCCTTTCTGTACTGAGAAAGGAAACAAAAAATCACTTTATCAATTTTCAGATGTATGCCCCAATCCAGAAATAAAGGTTTCCATATATAGCTACATTTGAATAAAAGAGAATCCCTTGATGTGCCCATCATATATTTTAATTGTTATTACTAATAGAGTAATATCAACCCAGTAAAAATAACAGAAATTCTAATCTTTCACTAACATTTAACTAAATTTAACTACTTCTTGATGGTATATATGACAAGGTTTATGTCACAACATTGAAAAGTAAGGTTTATACATGCAGCACAAACAAATTATTTCTATTTACAGCAGTGAAAGAAATATCGATGCAACTGCTCTAATGACCAATGGTAAGTAATTCTGATGCAAGAACTCCTATTAAGGTTGATATTTGACAAATAAAATAAGGCTGCTTTAGATACAAAGCATTACTACAGATTGTTAGTTCAACATACACAAGTATGCTTCCAAAGTTTAACAAGCACAGAAACAAAAATATTATTGCTTGTAAAGGTCTCCAATATAAAGTCCTGTATGAAGATTATTTTAATGCAGTGTACCCTGTTATACTTTATCTCTGTAACATATGCAACTACTCTACCATAAAATATTAGATTTATTGGTTGTCACATTTGCAAGTTTGTATTAAATCTTATATATCAGTACATATTTATATTAATTACAAGTTAATGTTAACTTGTTCACTTATATAGGTGGTACTTTAGGAGCTGCCAGTTAAGGCAAAGTGAAACTAAGCATAAAAACTGCAATTTTTATTTAATGCTCTATAAATATTTTGCATTTTCAATTGTAGGTAAAAAAAATGTAAACCTAGCTTAACATAACCAAACTTCAAATTATCAGAAATAAAAATGCTCTGAATATAATAAATAACAGAACATTTTCTTGGCTTTTAGACCCCATGAAAAGTCTCATAATTTGGTTGTTAATTAAGAAATTTATATAAAATGCAAATTTATATATTCATTTTCCTTGAAGTTCTACTATTAATTGTATGTGTCAATATCCTTCATTCTTCATTTCTGTATGAGAAATGGACCTCCCAAAATGCAAGAAATACATCTGCAATACAATCCAAACAAAAACCAATGAAGTATTCTTTATTTTAACAACATAACCTCAATAACCATGCAGATTAGAAAGTTATAATTTCACTTATACATTCATGCAGTTCTGTTCCATGCTAATTCAAAACAATTACAGGTTAATGGTTCTTTAGGCTCACTTTAACTGTCATGCAGAACATACGCAGCCCCAGCAAGCACTGAGAAAATACTCTTGGTTATACTAGAACATAAGAGAGCAGAAACATATACCTGTAAATATCGTTCCAAATATTTCTCCACTCTGCTACAATTCCACCAATTACTGGCATGCTGCTTGCAAATTAATGATAAAACAAGTAAGAATAAAAGTCTACCCTAAAGAGAAATAAACAAAACTACCATCACAAACTTAAATCACACACATGCACACACTAGGTTTCCTCAAAGCGTATATTTTTATTTTACCATACACAGAAATTTTATCAAGTATATAAAAATATTTCTCCCTTTTAATTGTTGTTTAGTGGTTACATTTTTTTTCTTAGTTTCCCAGAGTCATTAGGGAGAAACATCCATGAAAACACACACAAAAATCTGCATTTTTTTAAAGTAAGAATCCATTTGCGTGAAGGGGTTGTGCCAAAGTTCTTAGTGTCAAGAATTAAATAAAATCACTTAAAACACCCCAACAAATAATATTGAAGATATGTAAATATATGAAACAAAATAAAAAAACACACCATGAGTCTTCTCTAAATTTCTTTCAAACAGCTACTAAAAGCACAGAATAAGCAAATTAAAGCAGCTACAATATCAGCATGCATACATAGCTTTCTAGCAAGATTGTATAGGAAAATATGTTACAATACACAATTTTCAAATCATTTTCTGATTCCCTTCTTTTCAAACTTCAACTTAATGAGTCACATTTTTTACAAGAAGAAAACTGAACATAACAATGTTCTGGAACATGAAATTATACATAGCACTCTTAGTTTACAAAAGTTGTTTATTATGACTGACTTTCTCACTAACTAAATAAAGATACCACAACATTTTATGATTTTTTATACTTGTATTTTCATTGAGAATTTTATAGTGCATGATGTAAAATATTATTATCTATAAAAACATGTTGTTCTGGAGAAACTTAAGCTACTGGACAAAACATTGAAGTTATTGTTCTGAATAATCAATATTTGCTAATTGTTATAACTGAACAAAAATATTTTAAACCCTTTATGTATTAGTATCTGAGCTTAAAAAAAAAAGTTAAATTTTTTCAATTCAGTATCCTTTCACATCTTATTCTTCTCTAAATTACAGGGTGGCCATATTATTTTCACCCCCACCCCCCAATTTTCCAGACCTACATACTCGTATGTACAAAACATGGATATTTGAACTTTTCCTCAATCTTCTATAACTAACAACACTTTAGCTTTTTAATCTGATTATTAAGGATAATAAGAAATCTTGAACATTCTTCACACTATGGTACAACAAAAGTCTTCAAACATGGACAATTCAATTAAATGGTAAACTATAAAATGTAGAATTTTTATTTATATAAAAATATTCGATCTAACCTAATGTCAAATACAATGAAAAAGATAATTATCACCTGACAAAATAGCATTGAGCGACTGACAAAAATTATGTTAATATATATATACACCAATACCTCATGTAGCCAAGCAGCATGGTTTGGGTGTGCATGCATGTTCCAAAATAAAAAGAGCCAGAGTAAGAAATATATGCTCAAGGATGAAAGCTTATATGAAAAGACATGAGCAAGCAAGAAAAGCATTTGTTCACTAGTACCTTTCAGCCTTGGCATTATAGCAATGCTGTACTTTAACATTTCAGACACACAGTAAACTTAATGCAAAAATTCCAATACTTTTTTTCTTACCTTTCTAGTCATTTTCTTAAACTAAAAAAACATGTTTTACTTAGTACAACAAACTAAATCTAAATACATGTGTATACGAATGACATCCACAAATCTTTCACTACTACTACTTTATTTATAAGTCAAACATCACACAAACAGATTTTTAAAAGGGTTGGTTTAGAAATTCAGTATACCTTGTTATTGAGTTCCATATGCTCCCATCATCATTATCATCATCATCATTCAATAACTCTTGATGGAGTTTTCCTGATTTCTTGTTCACCTATATAAACAAGTGTATTTGATAAACGTTTGAATTAACTCTATGTGTACAGCTGGGTCAAAGTACATGTTACAACCATTTTTTTTTAGTTATATTTAAAATTTGAATAAACAACTTTATTATCAATGCAAGTCAATAAACATAGCATCAAATAAATCCTGAATTATAAACTATGTTATAAGTTTTAATTTCTTAATTTTAAAGGAAATATCTAAATAAATTCTTAATCTCCAGTTCTCTGTTACAAGTCACATTTCTTTGGTCCAAACTGCCCATTTTAGATTTTCTTTTCTTCTACCCTTACATAATTTTTGGAGTGTACCACCAATAACACACGTATACTATAGACATTGTTAAACCATAATGAAATCTTATATCATCCAACTCCCATGATTCAGTGAGTTTGGTTTGTTTGTTTTGAATTTCGAGCAAGGCTACACGAGGGCTATCTGCACTAGCCTTCCCTAATTTAGCAGTGTAAGACTAGAGGGAAGGCAGCTAGTCATCAACACCCACCGCCAACTCTTGGGCTACTCTTTTTACTAACGATTAGTGGGATTGACCATAACCTTATAATGCCCCCATGGCCAAAAGGGCGAGCATGTTTGGTGTGACGGGGATTTGAACCCACGACCCTCAGATTGCGAGTCGAGTGCCCTAACCACCTGGCCATGCCGGGCCAATTCAGTGAAATACAAACAAAAAAGTCACATCCACATGCCATGGCTCTTCTAGCTCATCCCTTCTTTCAAAAAATGTCAATAACTCTTCTCTGACATTTGCTATTGGATTATTTATAGCCAACAGAAAGAGCATATTGTTCTTTAGAAACTTCGTTAGAAGGACAGTTTGCTCAGGTGCCAAGTTAAGAAATATTTAGCCTCAGTTTGAATGCTTACTTTTGTGGTGTTCTGCTTGGCCAGCTAATGGAATTTTTTAACCTATTTACATATATTAGTTAGAATGACTTAAATTATTGTTGTTTTAGGGCATTCTAATTTTAGTTCATGATAATTCTTTGTGTCCTAAGATGCACATTTAAAAAAATTTGGACCACCAACACTGTTAAAGAAAGGTAGGGTTAAGAGTGCTTTGTCTGTCAATGCTGAAAGAAAGGCCCAAGCACCGACATATGTATTAAATTTCTTGTTGTTTTTTATGTATGTTTTTATTTATCTAAAAAAATAACCAAATTATTATTATAGATAAGAAAATTTAGATGAAAAAAATTAAATAAAAACATTTCTTATGATACTCAACATCCTAGCATGTGTACATTGTGTGGTGTGGTTGTAATTCAATTCTGAAGTGCTTGTAACCCCACTGTTTGTTTACACAAAGCTGTCCAGCTGTTATTAAAAATGGTTTTCAGTATATTATGTGAGAGTCTAACTGCAGCTGTAAAGCAATAAAACTAAATGAACTCAGATATGAAAAGCTTATTAGCTTTGGCTGTAAGAATAAATAGTTTAATTGTCTATTACATTATGCAGTCATTCTAGAAAGAAAATAAAGAACAATTTAGGTATATTTATTTTTCAACTTTTCATTTTACTCTATACTGCTGTCTACTTCAGTTAGTGTTAGAGTAGATAAAATAACATAAAATATATGGTTTTACTGAAAAAAAAACTTTTGATATTTATACAGAAGGTTCTAGAAGTTGTCTAAATTAAATATGAAACTGAGGAATAAAAAAAAAGTATTTTTAATCTTAACATCAAAATCATATTGTACTCAGGATAGTCAGATACTGAGACAAGCTGGTTTAGTAAACTTATGGACAAATATTTAGTAAAAATAACTTATTAAAAGTTATGATTTTTTATGTACAATGTACTTGTAACGTTTACTGAAAGTTTACTAAATTTCATAAAGATACACAAAGAACATTTGGCATTATTACTATGTATACTCAATATACCTTCACAGAAATTTGGCTGGTGCAAAGCACAAATGCTGTTCACATACAATTAATTCAATACATATAGGAAAGCACAGATATATTTTCTCCTATCTTAAATAACATTTTAAAGTCAAGAAACACACAAATATTTCTATTCACATTGAAGTTATCATTTTCCTTATCTGAAAATGCACTTCCTATAGGTTCCTCCTCACACAGATTATCTATCTTCCTAAGAGAATGGAATATGCAATCTCGGTGGATGAAGCACAGAAAGCATCTGAAGGACAAGGCAGCCAGGATGCAAAGCAATACATTTAAAACATCAGCTTTGGTTATCCACAGTCTGGGTGGGAAGGACCAATGGAGAGAAAGAAAGTTTCTGTTTGAAAGTATGGAACAACCACAAAGTGATTGAGAAAGGAAAAATCAATTACCAGATGCCAGTCCCCAGTCTTCTTGGGAACCACAGAGAGACAAGAGTAAAATTCTAAACAAGGGTCATATATCCTCTATGGCATGTTTGTCCAAAAGACTCGATACCATTTCCTCAAGACATTGAAGATAGACACATTGGGAGGAAAAAATGAAATAGGATGAGAAGTGGAGTCTGTGGGGAAGGCTTTGGAGAACCCATATGTCAGCAGAAAACTGTGATCAGAGTACTGCAACCACAACAGATGGGCTCTCATGGGTTCCAAACCAACAGGATAGTCATGCAGTGAACCTTACAGCAAGTGGAAGAGGAAGGCCTGGAAGATAGAAGAAACCAAAGAAAACAGTGAGGACTGGTGTCAGGTTGCTTGAGCCTGTTATTCTAAAGAGTTAGGAAAACCACTGAAGACACCTAGGCAAAAAAAAAAGGAGCATGAAAAATTGAACACTGGAGAGTGAAACAGATGACAAGGAGTTCACTCCCCAAACAGGTAAAAAAATAAAAAAAAAAAAAAGAGATTCCAAAGATTTAAAATCAAGAAAGGGAAAATTAGAATGGCTATAAGCCTAGACAAGAGAGTCAGATATGCAAGGAGGCAGAAGGTTAAAGATATGAAGTTGTTCCAGAAAGGAGTCAGCATGAACACTGATGTCAAGTGAAGGAGGAAAAATGAAATAATCATGAGGATTAGGGTTGTAAACTAAAGAATGCGAGGTGTTATAAGACATGGGTGAAAGAGAAAGAATGGAAAATACCTTTGTGATCAAGTCTTGAAATAAAGTGGAAGGTTGAGAGTAATAATGATAAAAGAACACAATAATGTGAGACTCAAGAGGACACACAAATGTGTCGAAACTAGTTTCTCTGATATCAGACTTCTGACAGTTTGTTCCATTTACTGTGGTTTTTCACTAAGGTGGAGAGCTTTCCTTGACTAGTAGTGAGGAATAGGCAATCTGCTTTCCTCAGGTTTGATTTCAATTTTGAGAAGAAGGGATATCAGAAGAATGGATGGAAACAGAAGGTCCAGCATGCATAATGGACCTAACCTGTTGTACAATGGCCGTCACAGGCCCACTGTGTGATATTTATTCACTCACATGGAGTAGGTAGAAGTTAAATTAACTCGTGAATTCATAGTAGCAAAATGAAGAAATGAGGACAAAGTCCAAAGTATAACAAAAAAAAAAAGTTTCATTAACTAATGCAAATCTCAGCAAGTTGAAATTGAATAAATTTCAAACATGACTGTGTCATTCAGTGCCAGGGAAAAGAAATGAAGTCACAATAAGTGTAAGTGCATAGGAGGAGTTACTGCACATGGAGGTTGTGTAGTCCTCCTACTGGTAGATGGCTTTCGTTGCATGATGACATCATTATGCACCAGCACAGTTCATATTAAAACAAAGTAAATTTTTCTTCTGAAAATTGTATTTTAGTCTTGAACAAAGTAATTATTAAAAATTAAGATTATATGATAAGGACTTTGTCCACACTCCACACTGACTGTTTTTCTTGTGCATCTGCTTAAGAAGTTTGCATGCCACTAGCTTAAGGCAACTCCCACCTAATTTCATTAAAACTGATAAACTTTTGTAAAGTCATTTAAGTGTGAAAATTAGATGTTATATTTACTTTAAAGAAATTCCACACTATAGTTGGTGAATAATCTAAATTTTCACTTTTGAATGATGTTATACCTTGTTCAAGCTGTTTTATCTGATGTTTCTTATACTACAATTTTATTTAGTTTAAACATGTAATAAACTTTAATATCTGGAATACATACGTTTGTAGAAAAAGCAAGCAGTGCATTTCAACCTACCCGAACTTTAATCACATGACTCCTGAAATTACTAATGATCACCACAACATCTTTTGAGCTCGGTGGAGAATCTGTGCCATCATGGCTGAAACACAAAGTTTGATTTCAGATACATACAAACAGTTCAATCATATATTCAAACACACTTTTCCTTCTAAGAAAATAGCCTGTAGCACCAAGTTTTTGTTTGAGAGTAATCAGTTTATATATGTGCCATGACTGAATTCATAATGATAGCATACAGTCTTAAAATATATCTTCCAATTACTTCAAGATTTTGTAGATTCCCCTGCTGGCTCACAATCTAAGCAACCACCCACTAAACTACATATAGCATGTTTGAGTAAATATAAATTTATCAAAAATCAAAAAAGTGATAATAAAATAAAAAATAACTAAAATAACATTTGAGAGCAACTGAATCACAAGATTAGACAATCTATACAACACAAGCATCTAAAGAAACTTGTGACATTGTATATTGCAGTATAATGATTAATGACAATATGGAGAGTCTACCTTAATGAAGTAGTCATACGTACTAACTTAACATTAACTTTATTTAAACTTGGTTAACTAGATAAACATTTGTAGTTTCAGCAATTACAAACAAAAATGTAATATGATTTTTTATGCTAACCTAAACAAAGGTGTAGAAGTTTTGAAAAACTTCTTGTGCAAGGAACAAAATGCTAGAAAAATCTGCTTTTTATTATTAAAAATCTACTTGCCCTCTCCCACAAAACATGTACAAAGAAAATAAACCATAAAGTTTAGACTTTTGCTTTTATTTATATATATATTTAGATGCACAATTAGCATTTTTATTTGGAACTGACCTACAATAACAATAAGCTCAACGTGTTTTGACACTAATGCATGATCTTCAGGTCTCCTGATCACAAGAACATATATCATTGGAAATACTTAAATTTAAGAAAAATAATAATGTATTAAAAAAAGAATGAGGGTTTTGCAGAGAAGAATGTATGTAGATGCTAGGATATCCTGTAAAAAACATGCAAATTAAAATATGATGAAAGTATAAATAATGGAATGATCTTGTGATCTACACTCCTGAAGATGCTTTAGGGTGTCAAAAAATGGTGGGCATAATGATGACTGTAGATCAGTCTCAAATAAAAATGATTATTGTTTTTAACTGTAGTATTTATTTAGTTATGATTTTATAAAGTGTCCAAGAAGAATTTTGGACAAAATGTTCTGTATTTTGCCATTTTGAGAAAATAACTTTTTTTTCTGCTGATTTCACAAAAAACCTTATGAAGTTAAATTTGGTTCATTATTAAGTAAAAACCATTACAAATTACTATATGAAAACCTAAAAAAACCTAGCCATTATTTACTTCAAACAATTTTACAAAATTTTTTTATTTGTGAATGGAACACTTTATATCTATGGGTCTTTTAAGTCAAAATGCTGCATATTCATCACTATAATACCATAGGCAACTCAACTTTATGGAGCTTCTCATATTAAATGTTGCATATCTAAACTCTTCGTATATATTCAATCTCATATTTTACAGTTCTTAACATTTACTCATTAAGGTTTTACAACACAGCATGAAGAATATCCCATACATGAACTGATAGATCATGGCTTACATTAATGCTACCATAAACTAAAATGATGTTTAATATATATATATATATATATATATATATTTATATTTGGGCTTACGCTAGCAACCCAGCTTCTTCCAAAAGACGACATTTAACAGTGAAAGCATCCAGCTGATGAACTAGCCCAATCTACTCACTATAACTTAACTGATTTTTTTTCTATTATAAATTGTATTATGATTTTAATTCTACTAATAGATGTTTTAAATAAACTTTTATAGCATTGAGCAACGTTTTATATGATAGTTTGTGCTACTACAGAGGGGGTATACATTAAAGCATATTCAGTCGTATTCTGTCTCCACCTTATGGGAGCAGCACCTGGTTGTGAGCTTTTGTGAAATTGTTAATTAATTTGGCATCTTTTTTTTTTATCTTCAGGAATAATGCATCTCCAGTGGC